CGTCTAGCTATTTTGTTAACCGCCAAGGTCTTGTAGTTCGAACATATTCGAATATGCAAATGAGTTCTATGCAAATCTGCTTTGTGCAGTGATAAGTAACGCGTATCGAACTGTGCGGAGTTCGGATCCATGTTCTTCTTCCACGACACTTAACATTCGATTTGAATTGTGCGAACACGATTGGGCAAAATAAACGCGCCCCTGCTGGCTGACTGGAAGATTCACCTATGCGGGCGCTGCACATCGAGATATTCATCTTCAATAGAATGTTCACGTGACTGCCTAATTCACAGCTGGCGTGTATCCATTTGATATATAGTCAGTCCGTGGAGAGTGACTGTGATGTAGTTGATCCTTTCAAAATTGAAGGTCTGCTACTTTTCCTACGTCTTTGCCTATATTTCCACAGAGTTTTCTCGGAGCACAACGCTGACTCCAATTGAGTCAGTGGCACCTTGTATGACATGTGGAGAATCGAGGGTATACTTCCCTATTTACGTACACTTTCGTTGAAACGTTGTTTCTTGTACTTCATTTTCGCTTTCGCAATATTATTTATTTTTGCTATGGCTAAGGTGAATCGGGTTTTGACTTTGCTGGACAGTCATTCACATTCGCATTCGTCTCGCGTCGGTAATTCCACAAATCGTGCAAGGAGCGAGGTTGCCCCAGACAACAGCCAACAAGTAGTACAAGAATTCCAGGTGGACACAGGCGATGAAGAACCGAGCAAGGCTTTAATGTTCAATCTCACAAAATCATCCTATAGCAAGACAATTCATGAAGAAAGTAAGCTTTCACCAGAAGTCCTCCCGGAACCGCTCCAGAACAACGTCGTCACTAAATATAAACCAAATTGGGCATCAGTTGACAGTCGCCCTATACCGTCCTGGTTCGATGAAGCCAAATTCGGTATCTTCATACACTGGGGATTATTCTCTGTACCCAGCTTTAAAAACGAGTGGTTTTGGTATCAATGGAAAGGTCAAAAACAAGCAGACTATGTGAAATTCATGGACGACAACTACCCGCCAAACTTCCAGTACCCAGACTTTGCTCCTCAATTCAAAGCAGAGTTTTACGACCCAGACAAATGGACTGATATTTTACAGGCATCGGGAGCCAAGTGAGTATTTCATATTGCACATTAATATACAGGGTGTGTCACGAATCTAAATCTAATTGACGTTCTTTTCACGAGTTTAAATCCTGTGTGTTCAGATACTATCGTATTATAAATAACACTGTAGCATTTAATCCGTACAACAGTGCATTGTGATTTAAGTCCATTATCGTCGGTATTTACATTAAAATTTATCTACTGGGGTTTATTCCGATCTTCAAGTTTAGAAAATACTAGTACACACAATTGAATTTCGAAAATTTACTGAATGTTTTTATCTAGGTATTCAAATCAATATAACTAATTCCCATACTTACGTGGGAATTAATTTAAAACAAAAAACGTTGAGAAAGAACAGCGTACACTTTGATTTGAATATTTATTATACATTTTCTTAATTTAGAATGTTGTAAAATTGTTTAAAATATAAGTTTTGCTGATTTCGATTTGCGGTTTAGAGGTATGAGAGCTTTTATTTTTCAGTTGCTAAAATCAAGGTGGTGAAATTTGCTGGGACAAATTTGAGAATAAATCACAATTTGAACAAATGCACACCCAGTTTTCAAGTAAATCGAGCAATATTGTTGTAGAGAGTGAACTCGGACGTTATTTTTTTTAAATACAGAACTATAGCAATGAGTTTTATCAACTAGTATACTGTGCTTTACTTTCTGAAAACAAAACTTAATTTCAATGTCTTTTGCGAACAAATATATCACAATAAATAAGTGAAAGGCAGCCAGCTGTCTGCCTTGGTTTATAAACATATTTATAACAATTTGTAAATATCAACCATCAACTTTCATTCAAATTGTAAAAATACTAAAATGTTCTATTCTCAGTATGTTTTACATAAAATGCATTGTGAATAAAATAACAGTTCATTTAAATATCTTTTCTTGGACTGCGTCCGTGCTTCCACGTCATTACTGGTTTGTTTTTATATTTACGAAATGCGAGAGTTTCACCTGTGTGGGCGCTATACAGCACTATGGTCACCTGACTGAGCGACCGCTGTGGTTGCTCGCAGTTATAAAAATGAAGTCCTACTTCCTTTTTTTTGTCTCTGCTTGTATTTTGGTACACTTTTTGGTGTCGGCCAAGTACGACCCAGACTGGGCTTCACTCGATAGCCGTCCTTTGCCGTCCTGGTACGATGAAGCCAAATTCGGTATCTTCATACACTGGGGAGTTTTCTCTGTACCCAGCTTTAAAAACGAGTGGTTTTGGTATCGATGGAAAGCTAGCAAGCAAGCCGATTATGTGAAATTCATGGAAGAAAATTACCCGCCCAACTTCCAGTACCCAGACTTTGCTCCTCAATTCAAAGCAGAGTTTTACGATCCAGACAAATGGGCTGATATTTTGCAGGCATCTGGAGCCAAGTGAGTATCTGATGATCAAATTCTAAGGGGCGTGTCTGATAACCGTCACGCGTTTGCCAAGTCTTAATTTAACCATATTA